TTGTATACAAAAAGTGGGCTGACCCGCATTTCATGTTCTTGGGCTAGATCAAAATGGGGCATTTCTTGTACAGATGGCAAAAACCCCCGCTCCGCCCCGAAGGGTTGGTGGGGCGAGACGGGGCGGGAGGGGGTGCGCCGCCCCGAAGCGCCCAGAACCCGCCCCGTGAAAAATAAAAAAATAATTACTTACAAATTAAAAACAAAAAAATAGTTAATTGAAAGTTTTTGAAAAAAAAATAAATAAATGGGGCAGAAAACGGAGCAAGCCCGCGCCCCGAACTCACCCCGCCCCGTCTAAGGTGGGGCGGGGCACGGGGCGTCGATGCCCTGCCCCAAACCCGTCCCATTGCCATCTCTATTCCAAGATGTCAAATTTATTATTTTGAACAATTGCCCCAACCTTTATCTTCTTTTATAATTTGGCCCTTGACTTTTATTTCTTGACAATGTTGACTTTGCATTTCATTTTTCTACCCATGCTCCTATTTCCTAATTTTTGTCTAGAATAAAAATTCATTAAAGTAGTGTCATGTAAAACTAACAATATTCAAATGCTCCAAATCCCTAATTTTTATCTAGAAAAAAGATTATTAAAGTAGTGTCATGTAAAACTGACAATATTTTAATGTTACTGATTCTTAGTTTTTATCTAAAAAAAGTCGATTAAAGTAGCAATTGACAATATAACTTCATAGCGATAGTATGTTGTACACTTCTTGTAACACTTCTCTATTTCATCCTTGCCCTCGTTTGTCCCATTGAAACAAAACTGTTTTTTTCTCAAACTTTTTTTAACAATGAATTCACACAATAAAATATTTTGTACGTAAACTCAAAACTTTAATCACTATTCCAAAACTCATTTTCCAACCAAAAAAAAAAGATAAACTCATTAAAATGAATTGCCAAATAGGGGCTTAATCTAATTATAATCATTGTATATTCTAGAAGTTGTCCTTGTCAACAATCGAAGTTGGATATCTAAAACAACCATCCAATGTTCCTATCTAGGGTTATACTACACATCCTATTATGGTCATCATTTAAGAGGTTCACTTCCTCTTTCTCGGTCTACGAGCAGGGACATCCTTGGAGTAACTCGTATCGTTCTTCCCTCGCTCTTCACCACCATCAGTTCCTTCATCAAAACTCTCAGTCCCCTCTGCCGACTCTTCATCTTCTTCATGCAATTGCTTTGCAGTTGCTTGTTTGGAGAGCCGATCACGAAGCTGTCTGAGTTTTGCTTTCTTTGAGTTCAAGACCCCAACAAACTAGAAGCATTAATAAAGGAAAATCATTCCTATTGTAGCCCTTTTATAGGTTCTTACAATTTTTCTTAAATGAAGAATTCATCTGGGGTTACTGAATCTCCAAACATGCTTATATAATATGCAGTTACTGATAAGGATTTGTATGTCTAAAAAGAGTGCTTGGAATAGAAAACAAACCTTCCCATAGATTTTCTTTTCAAACTGTGTCTTTTCATTGCTGAGTTTCTCACTTTGAGACAAACATTTTTCTGCCTCTGCTTTGAGCCTATCAGTCGACTGGTTTTGCCGGACAACTTCCTCCTATTTATACAAACATAGAACTCATGAAATGCCTTTTAAATATGGTTAAACTGAGGAACAAATATTTGCATGAAAGAGCTCAGCTGGCTGGAGATCTCAACAACAATCTCATTACACAGCAAGGAACTTCAAATATACACAGTAAACAGATTTTAGGATTAAAATATACAATCTACCATTTTAGCAAAATGAATTCAAAAGAATATATGTAATCACATATAATCAAATAGTCACGGTTTCATCAGCACGCAGTTGTAATAGTTAACTAGGTATAAATTTTTTGGTTAAAATGAAAAAAATAAAATAAATTACTTATAAATGAGATTCACATGAACAGGTATACAACCTGCTAAACAGCCTAGGACTGTAGCCATTATGATGTCAAGTTACAGAAAAGAATGCCAAATTATAAAATTACGTAGCAATAGTAAAGAGGATTGCGTGCGGATCAAGTTGCAGCCTTATGTAGCCTTACATAAGAAGTATGCTTGCACAAGACAACAGAAATATCATGCATTATCTTACACTTAATCTTATGTTAGCATCCAGGAGAAAGTCCAATACATCTGCTGTAGTCATCTTGCTATTTATTGAAGGTTGACATTTCCATCGCCATTCCAGTTTTGTACCTTCCTTCTCAAAGGTCCATGTTAACTGCAAAAAGTTACACCCAAAGGAACTAGTAAGGAGGAAAAATCGAAGCCTTTCTCATAGTAAAATCAGTAAATATGAAGTTCTTTATTCTATAAAAAATCTGATAACCATGAATACTCGAGCAATCATAAGCATGCAGAGTAGAATTTTATGAAAATTCGCAAATGAAAATGCCACAAGTCATTACCCATAGTCCAGGTTTGTCTCAGTCACTACCAAAAAAGTCCCATATACTCTTTTATGCCCACAACAAATATACACACTTCACATATTCACTTGTATACTGTGTGAAATTGCACCTCGCTCAATGTTAAGAAATTTCTAAGAGAACAAACTCCTTGTACTCGTAAACAAACAAAACAATGAAAGTGAGACATTCATCAAGTTTTTCTGAATTTAAGAAACTGTGTGAAATTGCACCTCTCTCAATGGTAAGAAATTTCTAAGAGAATGAACTCCTCGTACTCGTAAACAAACGAAACAATGAAAACGACATTCCTTCATCATACAAGTAAGACATCCATCAAGTTTTTTCTGAATTTTAAGAAAATAAAATTACTTTTTCACTTGCAACTTCAGCAGACCAAGGTGACAAATTATAGCATAAAGATTTCATTTAATTTAGACAAAAATACTAACAAAACCCAATATCAGAAGGAACAAAAGCAAAAAATCAATCACAAATTTGTGAATTTGTGTATTGATAAATTGTTCATTTGCTTATCTTCACAAATATAAACAAATGGACAAGGTAAAAAGATAGTGTTCTCCTTCGGTAATTATCATCATTTCAATAAAAATAATGAGGCAAGATGCTGTGAACTAATGGTAAAAAGTCAAAAAAAAAAAAAACTATTAGAAATTATTACCATAGACAAATTTGCGATTTTTTTGTACCACTTTCCAACATCCAAACCCTGAAACCGAGAATACATATCAACATATATTCAGTTTTTAGATAATTAAAAGGAAAATAAATTTCAAAATACTACTCGCAATTCTAAACTCCAGTTGCACTGACCCTTCTGAACCCGTTTCCAGAATCCGAGAACCCGTAAACCGAACCCGGCTGTTCAAACCCGAGGTATTTCTCAGCTAAGTCGATGTATTCACTCACTGGTTGGTCCCATTGCGTAGCTCTCTCCTTGACCTCTTCCTCCGTTGCTATAAAGAAAAGTAGCAATTACAAAAAAAAACAAAACGAACAAAAAAAAAAGTTGAAAATGTCGAAAATTGAAGGAATCCAGTACCGTGGCAAGTCCAGGCATGCAGACCGTTGGTGATGGAGAGGTCGAAATGAGTCGGATACCACGTGCCCTTAACGAATATGGGTTCGGATTCGGATTCGTTGTCGGGCTCTGATATTACCAGTTTGACGAACGTGTGCCTAGGAGACTCCATTGTCACAGTTTATGAGCTTCCCGCGTTGCTCTTCAAGCTTCAACACAAAAAATGTTAATGAGAAGAGTCCAGTGCTACTGGGACTTGTCCGTTAGAATAACCCGCTGACCCGAATATTTTTAAATATTTTGATTTGTCTAGTAATAACTAACAATGATTAAGATAAAACTTATCTTCTCATCGTGATTAGATGAAATTCATCGGACGCGGTGAACGTAAAATTCGAAGTCTAACCAATACTCTTTATTCTACTACAAGTACAAAGTATTATAACGATAAAACAGTGTGTGAACTATGTTACGGGAGCATAAATAAATTGAGTTTAGTAACTTGGTATTTTGCCATCTCTGGCCTCTGGCTCTTGATGATCATAGATCTACCCTTTTGGGAAGTATATGAGATAGTTTAGATTGTAAGCAGTTATGATTGTCGATAAATATTCTTGTGAAGACATAGACTAGTCATTGAGAATCTTGTGAAAATCGAGATCGACACTAACATCAAATTGGAGGATCGTGTCGATTCCTTTAGTAGTTGAGAAGTTAGCGGAGACTAAGTATGACTCTCATGTTTACTTTTTTAGAGAATGGCCGAGGTTAATAAAGTTAGTAAACATCTAGGTTGATGATAGTTTTAAATATCTTCGTGGATCATTGACATATTCCCAAGATCTTCTTTTATTCTATAAATCAACTTGACAAATAAGTAAATTTTGTAACTCTTTTTATCTTGGATCTTCATTTGGATTATGAGGTTAGCTCGAGCAGGCCCCTATTTGGCATAGATTTGAGCGAGGCCCGCGTCTTAGGCCCAACATTGGAGGGGATTTTAGCCTCTTTCATTCTTCCTTTTTTTTTCTTGGTCGATAAAACATTTGGAACATCATCGACTTTGTGATTTAATTATAATATAAATCTTTTATATAATACATTTTATTTGTTATTTTATTGTTAAGTATTTAAATTAACAAGTTAACTATTGAATCCATAACGCACTTATAGATTTTGTATGCATACTACAATTTTGGGGCCTAATATATGAAATTCGTCTCGGGCCATAAAAATTACAAAATTGGCACTGAGCTCGAGTGACGTTCATGCATGAGCATCTATATTAGGGATGGCAAAAAAACTCGTCGACTCGGATGGCTCGGGCTTGGCCAGAAAAAAGCCTGTGCATACTACAATTTTGGGGCCTAATATATGAAATTCGTCTCGGGCCATAAAAATTACAAAATTGGCACTGAGCTCGAGTGACGTTCATGCATGAGCATCTATATTAGGGATGGCAAAAAAATTCGTCGACTCGGATGACTCGGGCTTGGCCAGAAAAAAGCCTGAGCCGAGCTAGCTCGTGACTTAGTTCCACCGAGCCGAGGCTCAGGCAGTAGTCAAAAGCTCGTGGCTCAGCTCGACTCATTGACATGACTAATCTATAGGGAAAAATTCATAAATAAGGTTTGTACTTTACACCAATTCAAAAATCAGGTTTATAATTTGAAAATTCAAAAATAAGGTTATTTTAATTATTATTTATGAAATAATAAATTATTAAATCAATTTATTATTAAATATTTACTTCTAATATAATATAATTAACACATCCCATATGCACCATTCATACCGCTCCGGGGACTATTCCGGCAACTACTCTTCTCCGGCGACTGTTCCGACGATCGTTTCGGCGACTACTCCGATTCCAGCAATTATTTCGGTGACCATTCTGGTCACAGATTTACAATTTACGGTCACGGCTCAAAAATTTTGTAAGTCACAATTAATTCATTTGTCACATATTTCAAAATTAGTTAGTCATACATCAAAATTTATATGTCATACAGTCACATATTTTTTCGAGGTCACAAATCAAATTTTATAAATCATAGTTTATTTTATTGATCACGGATCAAAAACATTGTAGGTCACATTTTATCGATCGGTCACATATTTTCAAGTTGAACCAAATAGTTGGTCGCATATACTGAAACACCCCACGCCGATCTGATCCACCACTCATACTTGGTCACAGATGACCAAATAATTAGTTACATACACCAAATAGTGGTCACATACCATCGCCACCAACACTACTGCCACGGCCACTGGCAACTTGCGACCACCCTCACCCGGCCACTGTCGTCGCCACACCACCACCACCACAACAACACAACCACTGCTACCACCACACAAATGCACCACCGTCACCAACAATACAAACTCACCACCATCGCCGCCGGAAATAAAGCCATGACTATCACATCGCTGTCGTCGCCGCCGCCATAAACACCTACTGCAATACCACACCACACACCACATCACAAACACCATCACCACCACACAAAAACCCATCCAAACCCTCCCCAACCACCAGATCCACCACACAAACATCACCATCACCACGACCACCACACAAAACACCATCCAAACCCACAAAATCACCACCACCCGAACTGAGCTTAAAACACCATCAAAGTACCTGAACCCTCCATCCGACCCGGCAGCGTCGCGATGCCATTCGTGCAGCAGCAGCTTCTCCCTCCACCCGCCACCAACACTACTGCCATTCTCCCTCCCCCTTCCATTGCAGAAGCTTCGCAAAGCTGCTGCAGTGGGAGGGGGAGGGGGAGGGAGAAGGGCAGTGGGAGGAGAAGGGAGAAGTCAGGAGAAGCTGACGGTGGCGATGGAGGCGGCGGGTGAGAGAGTGGAGAGTGAATAGATTGGGAGAGAATATAGAGAAATGAATTAGTTTAGGGTTTGAATAGATTGAGTGTTTAATATTTAAAATAAAATATCTGATTTTTGAATAAATAAATTGTAGACCTGATTTTTAGAAACCAATCTTTAAACACTTGATTTTTTTGTAATTTCCCATCTACTTACCATGAAAGCCCAATAAGTTATATGTGCTATTTTGTGTTTTAATTGGAGGTATTCGATCTTTAAACACCTGATTTTTTGTAATTTCCCTAATCTATATCAATAACTTGAGAGTGACAAAAACAGAATTTTCATACACGCTAACCTTGAATCTTTACTTTACTTGTAAGATTAATGCAGAAAATGATTAATTTTTTTTTTTTTTAATTTCTTAACTTCAAGATCGTATGTGGCCCAGTTTTCCCTAAATGAAATTTAGTCCAAGATGTGTAAGAAGTTGTTCAAGAATTCTATATTATATGATTTGTTTACATTATCATTTTATTTCTTAGGAAATAGAAATATTCTTCTATATTATATGGAGGGTTCGTTTCTTTTACCGCTAGGCATGTGACCAAGGTACAGATAATTTCTTCACCCGTAACTTACTGTTGAACTTCAATTTTCAGACTTCCAGCTGCATATTTCACTATGCACAAGCTTGGCCGTATTTCATTTTACATTGTGCTTTGGACATGAACTTCAAGATATGACCAGTGACCACGAATATGACTTCTTGCATTTACTCGAAAAATATTACCCCTTGGATGCCGAATTTGCACACAGACCAAGATATATGGTACCCTATAAAGGTTCGGATATTCGGTATCATTTTTCATGAATTTTAGACTAGAGAAACTGCACTTGCCCGAACACCACGAAATGCGAGAGGAGATTTAACTACGCTCATTCATCATGCATAGATGTAATCGATCATGCTTTTTTATCATCTATCATTAGGTGGCCTTCGATCAATTGTTTATCCCATGTTTGTTTTCACTTTTTCTTGTTCATTATGTTTTGTTATATTGTATTTCGACTAGAAGACTACTATCGAATAGTGGAAGTAACCTGGCTTCGGATTTCACGGTCAATTTAGCTGCCAATAATTCTCCTAAATTCAACACGACAACTCGTCTGCTCATTTTATTCGCCTCACCTCATATGAAAAAATAAATAAATAAATAAATATAAATATCTCTGCCAAACAAACGCTTAATTGGATCCCACAAATTTATATAGAGGATTATGAGTCTAAGTTGAACAATAGAAGTACGATAATTTAATTAAAGATCATACTAAATTAAGTATGTCAATGGTTGACACAAATTGACATTGATCAACCAAGTCGCTTATAGACTTATCACGAACTCTATATTGCTAAGAAGTCATGAACAACCTTTTTTAAACAAAAAATAGTGACCTAACTTTTTGTTCGTCGTTATTTGAGAGTTTTTTTTATATCCGTTCGAAAAATATTAAATTTTGTACGTAAGTTTGCATTTATTACTTTACGATAACTTGACATGACTATCACATGATAGATTTATCTGAAACAAGTACGAAGTAGAATAACACAAAGAGAAAGTGTACTTAATAAAAAAGAAATTTAAATTTAATTTATTAATAAATAAAAATGAGTTTTAATAAGTGAACAGTACTTGTTGGTCTATTCGAATGCGTGGTTAAAAATGAAATATAATCAACTATAAATAATTTTTAAATTTCGTCAAACCGATGCTTTATAACTTGACATGACTTATGATATGGTGTATTTATCTAAGCCTATGTTTGGCTCATATTTATAATTGTTCATAAATGCTCAATTCACTTTTTATTAACATATTTCGATAGACTTACAAGTATTACTCATTTATTTAATGACTTATTTTTACTTTTAATTTAAGAGTCCGTTTGATAAAGATTAAAATCCAATTAAAATAAAAAATATAGTCGTTATTGGGCCCCATTCATCTAAAAAAGTCAACAATAACGACTAATTTTTCAATTTTAATCTGATTTTAATCTCTACTGAACGGTCCTAAATACCAAACACGTTCGAATAGAAAAAGAGAAACGGTAAAAAAGAAATTTGAATAGTAGTGAATAATGTAAAGACATAACTTTATTCGGCAATTATTGAACCGTACCAAACTCGACACAAAGTTGACGAAAGATGTCCAACCCTACTTCACGATAAGACTCCACATTTTCTTGTCAACTTATAAAGGGGAAATCATAGAGTAAAATGGTTTAGCGTACCCCATTATTTCATATCATAATGATAAAAATAGTAACTCTTTG